ACGGCGATTCGTATGACATCAATGTTGGCAGGTTATCAAAACGACCCTTCTTCTTCTTCAGTGGTCGTTCAACCATCGAGCTGCAGGAAGGTCTCTCGTTATCCATCCTGCAAACAGAATATGTTATTAACTGTTTTTAAATGTTATTAAATTCAAAAGTTTAGTGATATGAATGTGTGTGTGTATGTATTCAATACTCACCCGTATACAAAGTAGTCTTCCTTGAACCAACAGCGCACAGTAGCAGGTGATAATGTCACAATGAAGGTTGAGCTCAAACTGAGGAAATCGTCTATTTATCACCAAACATCATGCTGCGTGTGAGGAAGTGTATTGTAGCATTTTAGGATTAATTTCGTCTGTTCATAAAGGTTAAAATTGAATAACGATATGCTCTGCACGTGGCCGCTCAACAGATTTCAAAGGACCTTACAATGGAGCCTTATGTCTTAAGACAATAAGAATCATAATTCAATGCACATTGTCCCTGCACCTGGTGTGAGAACTTCAACGGTTTGTTCAGTTCAAGTATCATCATCATCATCAGATGGTAACTGTAGATTTGTAAAATATGCAATCGGGCATAAGGAATATGATCTCCATGTCACCAGCAATTGAGGTTGTTATCGAATAGGGGTTGTTAAGACAATAAGGATAATAATTGAATGCACATTGTCCCTGCACCTGACCTGCCATGCCTTGAGAATATCAACCGTTAACCACTTGAGCCCGGGAAAATTCAAACATCGAAAAAATTATTTTCTATATCCGTGATGTAAAATGGGTGTAGTTATCGACATGGGGGGTAGGGAGAGAAATATTTATATATTGCTATCTCTATAGACATTTTGTCTATAACATTATCACAAAATAAAGTAAAATACGCTAAATTGATCATATTATCGGTCTTATGCGTCTTAGGTTTACCGCAAATACCTTAGTTATAGCTCGTGTTTTGTACAAATCCATTTGACACCAGAAGAAAACGTTTCTGAATGGGAAACTAATAAAATTTCCGTAATTCCTTTGGACTTACGGAAATCTTACATACTACAATCACCAGTTATTCCTACAATCTGGGCCTTATTATTATTATTATACCTGGTCAGAAAAAAATAAATGAAATACAAAATACATTTATTTTCATGAAAAAAATACAATCTCAACACCAACACTCACTTTCTCTTTCTCTCTCTCTCTCCACCCCCCGACTCTCTATCTATGTATCTATCTCCTCTCTCTCTCTCTCGCAGTTAGAATTCAGTTAGAATCAGAAGGCGAGGGTGGGTGAGGGGTGGCCGGCGAGCCCTGGAGGGGGTAAGGGGGGGGGTTACTGTTGTCGAAAGTCCCGCGCCTCCTAAGAAGTACGCGCCTTTTCTCCGGACATGAACATGAATGCCCGGATGGCTTTGAGAACACCAGAATGCCTGTTATTATATTCTATAATTTGCTCAACAAGATTGAACCTTATATACGTATATACGTGTGTGTGTGTGTGTGTGTGTGTGAGAGAATGAAAGAAAGCAAGAGAGAGAGAGAGAGAGAGAGACAAAGAGAACGAGCGAGCGTGCAAGCTTGCAAGCGAGAGAGCGTCTGGGCTCGTTTTCTTTCTGGGTGATACATGCATCATCGTGTCCAATCTATTTTCATCATGAGTAATATATTACCCACCGGATCCAAGGGGTTAAGACAATAAGGATAATAATTGAATGCACATTGTCCCTGCACCTGACCTGCCATGCCTTGAGAATATCAACCGTTAAAGTATCATCATCATCATCAGATGGTAAGTGCAGATGTCAAAAAAAATGCAATCGGGCCTTGGGAATATGATCTTTATGTCACCAGCAGGTGGGGTTAGTTTCGAAAGGGGGGTGAAAACATCTCAAAAACCCGCTCAGACCCATACTTTTTGAGATATTGGACCTTAACGGTTTTCACATTCCAATAAAGAAAAGGATCAAATATGAAATCATTTGACAAAATCATTTCTATTTCAAAAAGTTGAAGAGATATCGTTATGAGATTTGACACATTAATAGATCATGTTATGACAACTATGTTTTGTTGAAATAACTTTTTCATACAAGGTCAAACAGTAGGTCAAACCTTGTTAAAAATGAAATATTGAATATTAGCTCAAGTTTTACATTTATAATAATAAGGTTTGGTAGACTTATTCATCATGTTAAAGGTCAAACAATAACGGCAAAAACTATTTTCTGTCTTTCTTAAAAACTCTTTAAATGAGCTCAACAGGTTTTGAATAGAAACATCATGTTTGGAAAAAAAATGTAGGTAGACTAATAGAGTCGTAGGATACATGTAAGTCCAGATTTAGACATTAAGTCACAAACATATAACAAGCACTTTATAATATATGGTGGATAAAACAAATGAAAATGTTCAAAATTTTGCTCTTTTTTTTGGAAAAAAAATTTTTTTTTTTGAGTTCAAATATCTCAAAAACTATTGGTCTGAGGGCTTTTTTGAGAGTTTTCGGCCCCCCTTCCGAAACTAACCCCAACTGCTGGTGACATAGAGATCATATTCCCAAGGTCCGATTGCCTTTTTTTCAATTTTTTTTTTTTATCTGCACCTGATGATGATGATGATACTTGAAAGTCTCCCACATCCGTTGAAATTTTCAAAATTTTATATTTATATTTATTTCTTTTTCTTTTTCTTGGAAATGATAGATAATTTTAATACACACAATACTATTTGTGACAATTTGTGATCCAACTGATATTTCTTTTATGACCCCATTTGACCTGCTGTTTAACCTTTTATGAAAAAGTACTTTAAACAAAATATATGCCAAATTTCATAACGATATCTCTTCAACTTTTTGAGATATAGATGATTTTGTGAAATGATTTCCTATTTTTGCTTTTTTGATTCGAATGTGAAAAAAAACCATTGAGTTCCAATATCTCAAAAAGTATTGGTCTGAGGGGGTTTTTGAGAGCTTTCGTCCCCCCTTCCGAAACTAACCCTAACTGCTGGTGACATAGAGATCATATTCCCAAGGTGTGATTGCATTTTTTTCAATTTTTTTTTTTTTTATCTGCACCTGATGATGATGATGATACTTGAAAGGCTCCCAAATCCGTTGAAATTTTCAAAGCATGGCAGGACAGGTGCAGGGACAGTGTGCATTGAATTATTATCCTTATTGTCTTATGACATTAGGCCGTTGAGGTCTGTTGACCGGCCACGTGCATTTCTCTGAGTCGTGAGTTTGATATGTTTTTTTGAAGATATATCTATTTCGATTACACCAATCGATTTATCATGCAAAATTATTTATGTGTACATAAACACTAGTCCAAAAATTCCGAAAATAAATATTCAGAACACATTAGTTGTCTAAAACTGTAGGTGATTTAAAAATAAAATAAAGCTAACACTTTATACTTCCTTTATTTACAACAACAAAAAATTTTCATTCATAGAAAATAGTTTTTTTCAAAACATGCATTCCTTTTAACAAAAAGGTCATAATTCCTAACTATTTATTTACTAAACTTTTGCTGATATACATTTTCTTCAGGTATTTCACCTTTGACTTTATTTGTGAGGGCGACCACTGTCTATACTCATTGCTGCTCTCTGCCATAATTTTTTGTATCCGTCTCCAGTGGATTTTTTTCGTCCTGCCTCCTGGGTCTGCCTTATCAGCTGCATCAGAGAAAATCTTCCAAAAGGAAGATTTTCCAGATGGCACACTCTCCATCTCAAACAGTGTACTTGTCGAGGTTGCGTCACTATCATCCTCCAAGGATCGGAGGACAATACTGGAAAGCCAAAGAACGAAATATATAAATTACATAAATATAGGCACAAATAAAATACATAAACATTATACATAATTTCTGCATGAAATCACCATCTTCATTGCATGTGCATTTAAAAACATTTGCAAAATATGCTCACCTTAATTTTTTGTAAGGAATATTTACAGGAGGACGCATGGCAGCTAGATCCGTGAGAGCAGGAGGTGTATCCTGCTCCTTGGAGAGTGTTGGTGGCTCTTCTCTGGAAAGATAGTGCTCCTGGGAGAGGGCAGGAGGCGAAGCTTGCTCCCAGTCTGGTGTCTCTGGTCTGGAAAGATAGCGAATGCACATTATGTTCTTTTTCCCTGCCAAATAATTGTTATGATAATGTGTAAATTTAGATAATACATACGATAGCAGAGGAGGATCATCGTATGCTTCTGGCTCATCTAGCCTACAGCTGGAAACATCCTCCTCATGGAGGGAAACAGGGCTTGTCCCCCTATTACCCTTGCTGAAAGACGGATATACAACAGTTTATTGGTTAGTGTCACAGCAGATCTTATTCGATATATTATGCGCATTAAAGTTAATTCAAGAAAAAAACAAACCTTTGCTGAGAATACATAGTTTCTTGCTCCTCCTGTGAGGATTCAGCTTCCGGTTCAGCTCTGGAGAATGAAATAACAACAAAACAATTATGGTATTGAAAGTCAACAAACAAAATTTTAGAATTCTGATTTACATTTCTTTTTCCAAATTATTCGTTGCCAGATGCTTACCTCACATCTTGTGACTCAAGCCACGTATCGACCATCCTTGTTCGCAGGTTTGCTGTCACTTCTACAAACGCTGCGTCCTTCGTTCTTATGTCATAATATTTGTCGGCGGTCGGCAAACTGTGGCTAGCAGCTTGAGCGATCGCAAGGTTTCTGGCTGGATCTTGTTCGTCGCCTCTCAGTTCAGATACCAAGACTCTTCTTGTATAGCGGGAGCCCACAGAAGTGGGATCCGCTCCTGCCCGCTTGAATGATTTTTTCATGAGAGCATTTACATTTTCTATTCGTATTGCTGTACAACAGCCCGGTGAGGTCAGAGTTCTCACCGGAAACAGGAGACAAGTAGGTGCGTCACAATCTGTTATGGTGGTTCTGAATACATTTATATATCTTTTTAAAGCTTGGTAGTCCTGCGAGGTAAGTCCAATTCGGCAGGGCCCTGTTAAGGAAACAAAACAAATATTCTATAAAGAATGCTGAAAAGTAAATGAATTAGTTCATTATGATAAATGGAAATATTCTTACCTTGTTGTTGTGTTTTGTGCACATGAATGCGCACAACATATCTCGAGTCACCATTCTTATTTCTAACTAATGTGGCATTGTTGAACTCGCCAAGAGTTACCGAGGTGAGCTCCTTTGAGCGCCGAATGTTCATCACAATGAAATATGTGATGAAGGCGTCCCTCATTTCCACTGCATAATTTTTTGTTATTACTGGATCCTCCTCGGATATATTACACTCGTTGAACATCTTTTTGATGAAATTGGAGTTGACGAAGTGTTTGATGTTAGCGCTCATTTTAGTGAACTCGTCTTCGGTCGGGTTGTGCCTCGGGGTAGCATTTGCATCAAGTATGGCACGTGCTGAGAAAGAAAGAAATATTAATATGAAGGTATTTGTAGTGTGCTTGATTTTGTTTGTAGTTGAACAAAATCTCTCTTTCTCTCTCTCTCTCTCTCTCTCTCTCTCTCTCTCTCTCTCTCTCTCTCTCTCTCTCTCTCTCTATATATATATATATATATATATATATATATATATATATATATATATATATATATATATTGTTGCGGGCCCCACCCCGTTACTGTAACATCGTCTCGGGCCGATGTTAGTCAAACACCGTGGAATGACCTGAGTGTTCTCATGAGGAATGAGGATTCCCTGAGAGCGAGAGAGGAAGAATGTCTCGAGCCTTGTAAGAGGAGGTTTGACTAGGCTATGTCGTGTTACAGGCCCTGTCTGGGACAGTGGTGTGGTCTGGACATGATGATAGTCGGACCCAGTAGCAGGAGAGAGTGTTTTGCATCTCCTGTGTTAGATGGGAGAGTGTTGGAGTCGTGTCTGCGTA